TTTTTTTCTTCTTTTTTCTGAGGTAACTACATTCATTCATTGAACATATTTCCAACCCTCGATACCATTCCAGTTTCAATAGTACATACTGGTTAAAGAAAATTATTCAATTATGATGTGAATCACAAAAAGTAGAGAAATTTTTCCTTTTTCCAATCTGGGAGCCACTCTTACAGTTATACCCCAAACTGTGTGTTAGAATTCACATAAAAAATGCATTTAGCATAAAAAAAAAAACAGTTTTTACTCATGGCCTCCACTGACTTAAAGCCCCCGCCTCAAAACCAACGGGACTGGGCATAAGCTTTTTAGAAATTTTTATCGTATGAAACAACTTTCTTCACTTGATAACTAACCATAATCGTTAACAATATTTTTTTAAATAGCTATCACCCCATGTAAGGCAGTAAAGCCACTACGATACAAGGGGGTTACAGAGTGTGAAAGAATTAAGAACAGAAACATTAATAATGAGCAGAAAGAGAAGAGAGTAATCAGGAGACCAGTAGATAGCGATTGACATTGTATTTAAATTTTTGCAGATTAAAAAGTTGGCTGGAAATCATGGAACCGGAAGGGAGTTCCAAAAGTAAGAAGTGCGAGAAAATAAATTATTAGCACAGAATTCACGGCTACATCTAGCCAGCTTAACGGTAAATTGAAGAGATCTCGACACCAGGCTAGTGCTGCGCTTAAAATTCAAAAACTGTAGGTACCATAGCGAAATAGGTTTATTTTCTGATTAACCCCCCAAATTCTAAAATTGTCTGTTAAATAATGTTGAGACTGAATTAGATATTTGATTGATAGCATTTTTATTGGACATTTGCTATTCTAACTAAGCTGCTCTGTGTTGTAAACTGTAAACATTAAAAAAAAAAAATTGCCCATTGAAGTGTAGGCAATGGGTTCAATGATGTTTTTAAATATTAAATTATTAATTAAACCCAAAATTTATTTCCCTGATTTCAAAATGAATGCCACACATTACAATTAATTACATTATCTGCAGGGCCGGATCCAGCATTTTCAGTTAGTGGGGCGTGTTCCTCGGTAAAAATCTCAATTCAAATTTTTAAATTCTGTGATCTTATATATTAGAAATGAGTAGAGAGTATTTATATATGATGTATAAAAACTTAAAGTGGCGTTTTCTTTTGTTTATTTGATATGTAAAATTGTATATTCAATTTTTTAGATTCAAAGTGTGATTATATAGCGTTTATGAAAAAGGATTTACTAAAGTCAATTTTCTTGGATTCTTATTTGCATAGAAGTTCCCGATTTTATCATAGTCTAACTGGATGTCTTTGTGAACATGCAAAAGAATAAACGTGTTAAATCTGTCCTTCACTCATTGAGCGTCTCAATCGATTTCTCAGAAATTTTAGTGGGGGCGTGCACCCTCTACGCCCTCTCCCACTTCCTGGATCCGCCCCCCTGTTCCGAGAAAAATATATTATTTTTGAGCCACAGATAAAAACGACTTTCGTTTCATTCTTGATTCCCATTTTGAATGATTTTTCAGTTCCTCCATATTTGTTCGGTTAAAAGTGGCAATTAAAATAATCAATAAATTAAATATTATTAACGATTTCAAAACTGCTTTAAAACCAAACACCTTAACAACGAATCCCCCTACTCCAACCGTAAAGAAATAAATAATAATAATAAAAAATAAAAAAAAATAAAGAAAACAACAGCAAATAAAGAGTGTGAATAATAGTTCGTTTCAAGAAAACCGGATTAGACCAGAAACATAAACGAAGCTACCACCGGTATTTTGAAACAATTTGTTTTATATAATATTTATTCGTACTTCTATAAAATATTTATTTAGATCCAAGCGGTACACAGAAAAATATTTCTAGCTAGAATATTGTTTTAGAAAACCAGTTTTGCGTACAGTATTTACTTAAGAATCGTACATTTGTTGAATCATAATGTTTTTCTAAAACGATCATTACAGAAAATACACACCTCCCTCATTGCGAGGTGGGGAAAATTGCATAATAAAGCAGGAGCAGGGGTGAACTCTCCTCGAGTGTTTTGCGAAAGTCACTTTCCAACTGTTAAGTTACTTGACTAGTGAAAAAATGCAAAAAAAAAAAAAAATATTAACATTTTTAGCAACTTTTAAAAACCCCAACTCAAAGGGTTTTCTTCTCTTTGCATTAAAAACTACGCTCAAAAAGTATTAGGAAAAGTAAATTTTAGAATAGTAACTTTCTTTCCTGATACACAATATTGGATATTGCTAATATTTGAATTTAAAAAAGAAAAAAAAAAGATAGAAAACAAACACCTATAAAAAATATATAAACAAACTGTTAATAAATTTATAACACTTCACCGCCGCCACCTCTTACCTGGCACTTTTCGCCACCTCCCCCTTCCGTCAAGTCCCTTCCCACACTACTGCCTCTTTCCTTCCCGTGACACCCCCATCACCCAGAAAATGTCCCCCTGTCAGGTTTGTTTGCTTGCTACCAGGTCAGTGTGCTATATAACATGGTTGTCGTCCTTCTCCGGAGATCTGTGGGTAACTAAGTTTGGTTTCCACTTCACAAATGAGGGAGAGATCGAGGGGCGTGAAGAAGTAGAATATCAACAAGATATAGAGTGTAGGGGGTGAGAGAGAGAGAGCAACAACCACCATCAATTTGGAAAAGGAAAAGAAAAAAAGAGAGAGAGATAGAGAGAAGCGGAAGAACGTAAAGGGGGATATGTGATCTCATTCCCAGCAGTGATTTCAGTGGTAATTTCATCTTCTATATTGAATACTCCCATATTGAATGTGTAAGAAAAAAAGAGAGGGAGGGGTGTAAATAAAGATACCCTCATCACATATTTGCCCTGATTTCCACTACCAGAGCCCTCCCATTTACATTAGTCCGTTTCGACCTCCGTTTTCTTCGTCTTCCGACCAAACTTTCCTTAATGTCTTTCCTCCTCCTTTTTTTTTTTTAAAGTTCATGAAAATACTAATTCCTTCTCTTTCTTATCTTCTTCCTCTATTATTCAGTTTTGTTTCAACTTTTCCTTCTCGGTTCTTGTCTCTTTTTCTTTTTTTCTTTCTCTCTCATCTCTTTCCTCTTCTCTCTTTTCTCTCACTCTCACCTCTCACTTTCGCGCTCTTTCTTTTCTCTCAGTCTCTTTTTTCTCTCAGTCTCTTTTTTTCTCTCAGTCTCTTTTTTTCTCTCACTCTCTTTTTTTCTCTCACTCTCTTTTTTTCTCTCACTCTCTTTTTTTCTCTCACTCTCTTTTTTCCCTCACTCTCTTTCTCTTTTTCTTCCACTCTCTTTTTTCCCTCACTCTCTTTCTCTTTTTCTTCCACTCTCTTTTTTCCCTCACTCTCTTTCTCTTTTTCTTCCACTCTCTTTTTTCCCTCACTCTCTTTCTCTTTTTCTTCCACTCTCTTCTCTTTTCTCTCTCTCTTTCTTTTCTCTTTCTCTTCTCTCTCTTGCTCCACCTCTCATTGCCAAATTTATTTTTAAGAGTCGCACTTATTTGGAATAATGTTTTTTCATTCTCTCGCCTCTTTTATTTTTAATTTAATTTTTTTATACCCTTAATTTTTCCATTTTTGGTTTCTTTCTCCCCACCCTCTTTTCTTATTGTGTCTCTCAAGAAAAAGCAAATAATAAATAAATAAATAAAAATAAAACGCCACCACCATCTTTGACTGTAATATTTTCTCCAAATTTTTCTCCATTACTTTTCTCACACAGGTTCTAGATGTGCGCATGCGCGTGTGTAGATTCGCACCTTGCGTCTTTTTGCAAACTTTTCCCAACAACATAACTCCTCTTTCTCTCATACACACACACACACGTTCACATTCCGATCTCTCTCTCTCTCTCTCTCTCTCTATTCCCGTCTACCTTTCAGCGGCGAGGTCTCCTCCCCAAAATACCATCACCCGCTTCTTACCTCTAGCCTTCCCCACCCAGTGAACTAGCTTGCCTCTCCCTTCCTCCACCACATCTAACGCGAAAAGCGAGTTGGTAGGTGAGGATAGAGAAAGTTTTGCCAGCACTTTGCTGTTCCCACATTCCCCTCCATCTTGTCCTCTTCTACCCACACTTCTTCTCCCCTCTCGACTTGCTCTGGACCACACAGTCTGGGAAAAGTGAAAAAAGATATCTATCTGCTGTCTGCCTGCTAATTCTGTCCCAACCCACATTGTCCTGGCTTGGCCTGGGTCACACAGCCTTTGCCTAAAGCCAGGGTCATGGGAACAGTGTGAGTATATACTCATATATTGACTGCCGCTGTTCGCCTGTTGCGAAGAGCTAAGCTCACTTACTCTTTCTATGGTCAGTTTATTTCTTTCTCTTTAAAAGAGCAGAAATAGGAAAGAAAAGGAAGAGATAAAAGAAGAGAGGCAGTGTGAGGAAAGAAAATGAGAGAAAAATGAATTAGAAGAGAGGAAAAAGATAATAAAAAGTGGGAGGGAGAGGGAAATTGAGGTTAAAGACAAAGAACCGCAGGAGGGGAAAATTTGGAGGCGAGAAAGCAGTAGGAAAATGAAAAAGGGGGAAAGTCAGAATTCAAGAGGAACGGCAAGAGGGAGGGGGAAAAGGCAGTAGAATTAGAAGGGAAGCACCCAACTCCCCACCTGTAGAAGTTTTTCTTTTTTTTTTTTTTCTTCCCACCTCCCCGGCTCTGAAGCTCCTCCTACTCACATTCGCGCACTTGTTCCTCCCACTTTCACAGTATTTTGTGATTTTTATCTTGTTGTTGTTCTTTCTTTCGTCCTCTCTCTCTCTCTCCTCAAATGACAACATCCCACTATCTCCACTCTTATTTATTTATTTATTTATTTATTTTTTACAAGTGTTCGCCAAATTGTCTGTAAAGTTATGTTGCACTAATTCAGTGTCTGGTTCCTTTTTTTTTCTTCTTCTTTTTCTCTCCTTCTAGTTTCTGTTTAGCTGCAAAACAGGGCCAATAGAGGTGGGAACGAAGCAACATAAAGTTGTGAGTTGGGGAAAGAGATGGGGGTGAAAAGTTTTTTTTTTTTCTCCTTCTCGCTAATTCTTTCCCTTGAGAAGCGCATTTATTTTTCCTCTTTCTTCCTTCTTTCCTTTTCTGAGTCCCCCCCTCCACTTTTTTTTTCTTCTTTTCCCTATATCTTCACCGCCTTCTTTCTCCGTTTTCTTTTCCCACCATGCAACAGGTGGGACTTTAACACATGCACACAACTAGCGAGGAGGCGGCGTCTTTTCTCAATGAAAGATTTGTCTCGCTCTCAATTTTTTGCACTCTCTCTCTCTTCTTGTTTTATTGTTCTCCCTCCCTCCATATTTTCTTCGCTTTTTCTTCTTCTTTCTCTTCTTTCATCGTTTCTTCTCACCTTACATTTTCTCTATTCTGTTTTTAGATTATTTTCCACTTTATATTTTGTTCTCTACTTCACTTCTCAACTCACATTCTTTCTTTTCATTCTCGTTCACTTCTTTTTTTTTCTGTCTTTCTTTCTGACCTCATATTTTTTTTTCTTTCTTTCCTTTCCTTTCTTTCGATTTTTATTTTATTTTGCGACTTCTCGTCCCCATTTTTCTCTTCTCGCCAGTTTGGGTGGGAACTGCACTAACCTACCAAGTTAGATTAATTAAAATGTGGAACCTGATCGTATTTTCCACGTATAGTTATACGTTCATCTCCAAATGCCACTACAGAATTCTCATAATCAGAAAAAGCTAACCAAATCTCAGCCTTTTTGGTAACTGCTGCAAATCTTTTTTTTTTTTTTTTCTCAGTAGATTTCACTTGAAACTTATCACAACGACGTACATAATGGCATATGCCCTCTATATTGACATCATTGTCGGGTAGTTTTGATTTCGAAAAAGCAGGTTTTAGCTGTGTATTGGTTATGCAACTTTGTTAATGTTTATTCACAGTTAACAAAAGAAACCCTTTGACTTCACAAACAAGTTTTTATTACATAGTGAACATTATTCAGTCTGAACTTTGGGCATTTACTTTGCAAATGCTCATTTTTTTGTGAGATTAGGTTTTTACAAAGTAACATTTCTTATGTTTTGTTATTGATTCAATCAAAATCGATAGTATGATGATACACCTAACAATCAAAGGCTGAATAGTTTTATATTTAATTTGTAAAACTTTTTATTTTTTAGTGTTTTAAGTTTATTACATTTCAAAAATGTTCGGGCATGCAATATTGATCAGACCAAACCAAATGATCGAACTTGATATTGGCGGCATATCAAGTGGACCTGTAATAATCAAATTCTTACACTATCATATCCAGTTGATGTTGATTATTATAGCTGTACAATTCAGGCACGGCGACATCATGTTATGTGTGGAAAACTGCTATCTTAGATGTTAAGTTTTCTGTTTTATTAAAGATAACTGATTCTATATTTTTTAATCTGACACACTCATTAAATTAATTTTAAAATATATTATTATCTTACTGTAAATATTATTTTCTTTTTGACTTTATATACCCTTTTTTGCTTAATATTTTTTGTTTTGACTTTTGACTTTAAATATACTTTTTTTCTTTTTAACTATCCTTTGTATTTCTTTTCTGGAATGAGACCAATACACTTTTCCGCAGGTAAGAATTATATAACAGATTTAGATGCTAATGTTTCAGGGAGGGGGTAGTAAATTTCCTTATTTATTTTAAAAATTAATGGCAGCAAGGATTTTAAGACAAACAATATGTCATAAATTAAGACCAAATTTAATCTGTTTTTTTTTTTTTTTTTTTAGTTGTCAGTTCCAGAAAAAAACTAATGAGGTGACTGGAGTACCCTATAACACTCCCTTATAAATCCGTGGATGTGTGCATTTACAATAGCACTTGTTGATGATTGGAGAGTTCACGGATCAGTATATATTATGAAAAAACTTAGAAGTAATAATTACATCCAATCAGGGCCAGTGCGTACTAACCCCCGAAACCCATGACAGGGAGATAAGCCTGATTGGGGGCCACGGGCAATGCTTTGTGACCCTCACTAGCTTAAGCTTTTGCCTTTTTACTACTTACATTTATATGTTAGAAATTGAACTAAGCACAACTGACTATGAAAGGATGAAACATTTTCGCGAATTTTGACGTCATTCTGAGATATTTTTTTCCAAGTCTATGAATTTGTATTGCTAAGTCTCAAGAAAAGGCACTATATAAAATTCACTATTTTTTTAATCTATAATGTTAAATGTGTTAACATTATTCAACTTTTTAACAAGAAAATCTCAAATAGCCACAAAACATTGAATTATTTAAGATGGGATGATCTATTATAATATGTCTGTAATTTGTATTTAGATACATTTTTGTATTTATTTTCAACTTTTCTAATTTAACTGCATATGATCCATTACTGTACATAACTAGGTTACAATAAAATTTATATTTTATATGAATACTACCTTATGACAATTTAGATGTAATCGTTAAAGATTCAGTGGGATCCAAGGCTCTGCATCCAGTACTGTCTTTCTGAAATATAGTCACTATTTTGAAGATAGATATGAATAGAGCAACTATTTTGAGCAAAGGTTACGATGTAGCGACTATTTGAATACTACAGAATATGAGTTCTTGGTTAGTGTATGTACGGTTTATGTGTGCACAATAATTACAATGTGGTTAAACGTTTCTATTTTCTGAGGTTCCAGCTTGGTTTTCTCTTGTTTAAAATATACGAAAGTTTCTTGCATGCTTTTGAGCTATGAGCTTTAACGAAGTCCTAGGATATCACAATCTTAATCAAGAATTGTAAAATTTTACTGTGATAATTTTTTGAAGCAATAATGATGTTCTACAGAAGGATGCTGGGAATAAGCTGGATGGTGTATGTGGGCAACGAGAAGGTTTTAATGAAAAGGACCCTCATACTTAAAATCAGAGAGTTGAAATTTCTAGGACACATAAGGAAAGAAAGCTTGGAGAATTTCACACTCACAGGACATATTGAGAGTGAGAGGGGATCTATTAAACTAACTTTTATGGTGGAACAGAGACTGGGAGGGGTAGTAAGAAGACAAACAGTGCTTAAATCTATAAAGAATAGGAATGTGTGGAGAGCCATGATCGCCTACACCCTAAATGGACATGGTATATAAAAGAAGAAACTTTATGTCAATCAAATAATTTTAAGATATAAATTATGACATAAACCAAAGAATATTTTTGTAGATAATCAGAAAATTAATGACAAATTTGAAAACATTTTTCTGTGATGCAATGCATTAGTTGCTCACTATAATGAGTCTGAGCCTAGTTTTGGTTTAATAATTAAATTTAATCTACTCAAATTAAAAAAGAAAGCAATTTAATAAGATGAAAATGTATAGAAAGTGCTTTAATTACTAGATCATCTGCAGTAAATATGGACTCAGGTTCTTACAAAATTTCATTGGTAGATCTTCTATTATCACAATGTGGGATACTTAATAACAAAAATGATGTGGGTAAATAAAATACTTAATAAAAAAAAAAATGAATAAAGAATTTAAAGGAAAAAGTTAAATAAAACTGGTTACTAGACTTATATATTTTGTAGGTTACACACAGGGTCGAACTTTTGGTTAAACACTAGCAACTGTACTGATCTCCGGTCTGTCTACCCACGCTGTGTTTAGATCTTAGACAGACGGGACCAAAAAAAAATGAATTTCACGAGACAAAAAATTGTTTTAAAAACCTTTTTATATCATGTCCGCATAAAACAAAATTGTTCCCTCCATTTTGTGTTCATCTAAAAGATTTCGAATTGCCTACTCTTTAGAATTGTGTATGTCGGAGTGGTTTGGTTCGACATGGGGCTAAAATCATCAGTTGATTTTGAGTTGTATTTCTTCTTCTTCGTCGAATGAAGTTCTCCTTCGAAAGATCTCTTGCCGCAACTCAAAATGAAACTGCCTTTTGTCGATTGGGGCCCTGTCACAAACCGGGGGGTGGGTCTGTCGGCGTCAGGGGTTTTCGATAATTCCAAAAAGTCGCATTATTTTTTGACTTCCCATTATCGCTTTTTTTTTTTTTAAATTTTGTCATCATTCATCCATGCAGATCACGTGACCGTTTGGACCAATGGTTCTTGATCGAGCACTTTGCATATCACGTGACCGCTTTCGGCTAATGAGATTGTGGTTATGGTCTGGCCCTTTTGTACGAAAAATCCTTGGCTTTTTTTTCACCTTGTTCATCTTGAGGTTCTTGATCAAAATCCCCTTCACCTCCCGTCTTTGTCAAGACAGATATGCAATGAAAATGTTCCCACTTTATTATCGTAGGTCAATTTTTAATAGGTCAGGACTTGTTCCACCGGGTCTCAATGTTCTCATTGTCTTTACTCCAAATTTAATGAGTCTTTCACCAAGTAGGTCAGATGTTTTTGACCGATATCTGGTTTTTCTGCGGCCCGTTTTGATTTGTCTTTTTTTCTATTCTATTCTTCCAATTGTCTTTAAAAATTCGGCCACACGCAGGCCATCTGCTCCAATGACGGGAGCCAATTTTGATCGTCTAAAGTACAATCTTAGTGAATTATTTTCAACCAATTATTTCCCGTTTAAAAAAAAAATCAACAACCTGTTTAGTAAACTGAGTGAAAAAATTAAATCATATTTCTATGAATATTTCTAATAATGTAATGCCACAATTTTAATCCAATGAAGTCCTAAAGAACAAAATGTGTCACACAGCATTTTTTTTTTTTTTTTTTTTAAATTTTGTCATCATTCATCCATGCATGGAGTACTGTTGTCACATATGGTCTGGTGTTCCCGCTGTTCATCTTGAGGTTCTTGACAAAATCCAAAGACAGATATGCAATGTGATCGGTCCTGACTTGGGGTCTCAATGCCAGTCACTTTATCACCAACGTAATGTGGTTTCCCTTTGTCTTTTCTATATATATTTTCATGCCATCTGCTCAATGAGCTATTTTGACTGGAAAAAAAAAAAATATTATCTCAGATTAAAAGTTTTGTTAATTGTGTTATTTAATATTCACAAATACCCTTGGAAAAAGGAAATCTTTTTCTAACTGATGTCAACAATGTAGGTCTTGTATCTGAAAAAAAATATGTTAAAAAATTTTAATTTTCACTGGAAAAGGAATTTTGTTTAAGTCAAAAAAATATTTGGTTTTAATTTTATGGTTGATTTTGTTTATTTCAACCTCTATGGGCCAAAATGCCAAAATATTTTGAATATTTTGGTGTATGCATTTTTAATAGCATATCAACCTCTGTTGGTTATTTAATGCTGAAATTTAAATATTTTGAACGAAATTTTACGGCTTCAACTAAATATATTTTGAACACAATTGCATGCCTTCAACTAGAGATAAAATGTATTGTTGGTAATTCTACTATAAAATGTATTGCTCGTAATTCAACTATAGATATATATTGCTGGTAATCTTGAGTATATAAAAACATATTGCTAGTGTTTTTACTATAAAATTCCATAGTGTTGTTTTTGTTTGGGGGTTCACTATTTGCCCATAGATGGGACCCTAACAGGTGCTACCACCCTGGGTCATGGTGAACCTAGGAACAATAGCAATTGAGAGGTGGTTCCATGCTTCTCAAAACCTCCAATTACTGCTGCTGGATGTAGTTTATCATCATGCTCAGGATTACTAGCTTTAAATAACTTACAAAAGGTTGATAAACCATAAAAACAAATCAACCATATTTTTACTCTGAATAAAAAGCATAAAAATATTTATTAATTGGTATGTTCAAATGGGCATTATATAATTCTCTTTATACATGCTTATCTTTGCTTTAGGTGTGGTCCTATGTTTTATACCAAACTCGTATCAACAAATGAAAAGATAAATTTTTTGCTAAATAATTTTCAATCAAGATAAATGTTCATTCAATGATTTCTATAACTGATGTTTGTTGATGCGTTCTAAAAAGGGCCTCAATGAACCACCCCAAAGTACATTTAAACCCAGAAAAAATGAAAATTAAACTTAAATAACTTCTATCTCTTTCTCGATAAAATATACACCCAATGTATTGTTGGGTGTAAATTCAAATATTTCCAGGTTTCTTGTCTCAGAAATAACTAATTTCATGCAGTTTGGGGCAGATTTACCCATGGTACTTGGATTTTGACAAGGAGATTTTAAAGTAATAATAATAGGTGTAAAAAATTTTCTTGAAATCAATCTCAGCACTTATTTCTCTACATTTAAAAAAAAAAAAAAAAAAAAAATAGAAAAAATTTGTTAGAGACCAAGAAAAGAGAGTTGGATTGCTATGTGGTATCCATCTTTTTATATGACAATGAATGTTAGATAATTTCCCAAAGGATGAGGAAAAACTAAAAGCAGGAGAAATGTGGTTCTACAGAAGGATACTGAACATTCTGTTCATGTAGTGATTAAGTAAGAAGGAAGTCTTAAAGAAAATGGCGACAGAAAGAACATTTATAATCAAAATCAAGAAAAGGGGGCTGAAATTCCTTAGACACATAATGAGGAAGGAGGTCTTGGAAAACTTAACCCTCGTGGGGCATACTGAGAGCAAGAGATATAGGGGCAGGTGGCCAATAAGAAAAAAAAAACAAAACATTTTTTATGGAAGAACAGATTTTTCTTGTTTTTTCTTTTTTTTTTCATACACCTAACAAAGTGTGAAGAATGGATCTGTCGAAATGTTATGTTATTGACCTCAACAACACAAGGAGTTAAATTGTCCTTGCAATGTTCGTAACATTAATGACTTCTTAAATTTATAGGGAATATTGTAATACAGTCACTCCTCACTGATCAGGTTCCATTCCAGCGAGCTGGTCACAAAGTGAGAACATATACCTGACCGTTATTACAATCAGACTACATGTGTAATGGGCTTGTGTCAACCAGCTTCAGATTGCTTTAATGTCACTTCTGCACCATTTGTAACAATTTATTTCCAAATGTTTATACAGAAGACTAGTATAATAAACGAATTTGGAAATTGACTCTGTATTCTGTACATGACTTCAGTTTTCTTCCTGTAAAAAACAAGTAAATTTTAATTCATTTTTCACTTTGTTTTCTCTTTCTTCAAATAATAATCAATCATGATGAAACTTTTTTGTATAACGTACAATACCAAATGGTTGGATTTTTAAAAAGTCTTTCATTTTATGATGTTTTATAGCTGGGCTTAAATCCCGAGGTTGTTAAACAGGTCAATAGTTAAGTGAGGAGTGGCAGTAATAGCATTCAATTTACTTGCTTGAAATACTAGTTTAAGAATTAAAAAATAGTTTATCTTAATATACATTCTGTTGTATTTTACTATCCCGGGTATTCTACATGGTCATGATTACTTTCTTTTCAAATTGAAATTCATTGAACCTTATCAAATTAGAAGCTATAAACAGGCAGGTATCTTTTTATATATATATATATATATATATATATATATATATATATATATAATAGATTAAATATGACAGTTATTTAATATATTTTCTGTTTATGTTATTTATTAGATAGAATTTGTAAATGATCTGTTTTTTAAATACACAATATTAATTACATTTATCAGACTGAATATCCGAAAAATGTCATAGAAAATATGCGTTCTCTGACAGGGATTGAACCTGAAACGGAACTGTCAATTGATTTGACATGCTATACCACTCAGCTACAGAGAAGCATTTGGTTAGCAAAGTCCAAATAACAGTTTATAAACAATAAATCTTCAATGATCTCTCCTGAAGATTTGTTGTTTATAAACAGTAATTTTGTACACCCCTTCTTTTACACCCACTTCTTTGCCATGATATTTATTGGTACACTATTTCAATCTTTCTTTATTCGTACTTAGTCTATGATGTAAAGTTAACTTTACTTAATTTTTCTTTCTCTTTCCTTTAATTGGAGAGTAATATTTGTTCTTTGAAAAATATAAAAATGTGGTACAAGGCCAAAAAGTGTAATGGGGAAGGCTGGTCTTTCTTATAATTAAACTTAGCTTGCCACAATTACTGACCCAAACATACAACAATATTCCTTACACCAAAACAACACATTCCTACTTACCATTCTTGCTATATTCACCATAATACCTCAAAGTCTCTATGAAGTCCTAACTAGTCTCCATATATACAATTTTTGTCTTTGTGTGGGGATAAAAAACAACAATTTTAAAAATCTAACCACAATGTCCTTTAATTGGCGAGTCGAGTTCCATTGGGTTTGCTATATTCACTTACATATAAATACCATTGTAAAAATCCACCTCTTCTCCCCCAGTTATGGGTTAATTAGTAGGACTTGTATTATTAGACTATTGTTATCACCCCCACCCCCAAAAAATGTTCTTGCAACCCAAAAATGTAAAAATGTTTTCTGACTTTGAATTACCTGCAAAGGGTCAATAAGCCATAGAAAATAATCATTTTTTTTTCTTTAAAGAAGCAGTTTGAAAGAAATTTGAAAAAAAAAAGAAAAACTCTTTTTTTTTAAATGTTCTTTCTTTTTTTCTTCTTCTTTTATTATTCCTCCTCATTGTAGTTCTTTTTTCTTTTCTTTTTTTTTTTTTCTATGATAGCTTTTTATTTTAGCCACAATGGTGGTCTCCTGGAATTTTATTTCTCAATCCAATTTGGTTCAATTTTTCTGCCTGCTTCATCTGTCATTTTTATTTTTTATCATTCTTTCTTGCATCAACAACATACTTTTCAACTCCCACACTCTGAAAATGTAAAAAAGAAAAAAAAATATAAAGATAATTTCCAACCTACTAAGGTAGATTTTTCCTTTTCCCTCTCCCCCAACATTCCATCTTTACCACTCTGTTCCCTCTCCTACCCACAAAATGACTGACTAACCTCTCCCATCTCCCATTCATACCACACATTTTTACCCTACTTTTCACTTTATTATCAATACATTTTCTATTTCTTAATGAAAAAGACTTTTGTTTTTCTCTAAAGCTTACTAGTGTGTGTGGGGGGGTGTATTTAACTTTTCTTCTCTTCTTCATGTTGATCTTCTACATTAATATCAAAATGACTTCTTAGATATTAACAATTATTCACTCATAGTAGCCTGCCTACATGTCTATTCCTCTTTTATCCCTACACCGGCAATCACATGTTCTGCCATACATACATTCCATAACTGAAACAGATACACATTCTTAATGACACACACACAAGGTAATTCAACCACTCCCACCCAAATTTATAATATACCCTTTCTATTTCTAAGATACATTCTCTCTTCCTCATACTCCAGCACACATAAACACACACACTGGGTTAAATGTTGTGTTTCCCTCTCTTCTTGAATTTACAAACATGCACAAAAAAGATTCCTTTTTAGACACACATATAAACACACACACACAAACATGCTGATATAATTTTTACTCTTTCCTTTCTCTGTGTATATATGTATATATATGTACATATAAAAATAACTCATGTTTGTTATCTGTTCCAACACGCAATATTCAGCTCAGAAGTTTTCAACTCCTCACTTTCCTTGGCCGCAAGTAAGTCCAGCTATATGCACTAAAAAATAAAATGATCCTTCAATTCTCTTTGCCTTTCACTCTCATTCTTTTTTCTTTTCCATTTTTTTTTCTTATCAGCTCACTCACTGTTAAAACTACCTCTGACCTCTCCTCATACACTCTCTCACATACTTGCACGCTCCCTTAATATCATGGACACTCTTTCACACTCTCTCACTTACGTACAGGTACACTCTCACTTTCACCACCTTTTGCTCAGTTTCTCAGTACATACACTTTCACTTTCTCTCTCACTTTTCTTCACAGGCATACAATCCCCCTCTTACCTACCTACTCTCTCTTTACTCATATGGCATACCATTCTGGAAACTTGCTAACTAAAGGTTTTTATAGCAGAATCCCAGAATTTAAAAGAAGCAATAGTTAGGTCTAAATCTGTTAACTGAAGAATTTTTTTTTTGTTGTCAAAATTGTATTTAGAAGCTGATTGCTCACTTTTTCCCAGATAAATTCATTCAACCTCACACGTTTATAAATCTACCATTTGTCCATGCATTGAATTGTGCTGCCATATCTGGTCTGGTGCTCCAGCTATATATGTCTTGAGATTCTTGATAAATCCCCCCCCCCCCAAAAAAAATAAAGTTTGTAATATTATTGGTCCTGGCATGGAATGAAGACTTCAGGCACTATCCCACTACTGTGACATGACTTCCCTCTGTCTTTTCTGTAAGTGTTTTCATGGCATTTAATTCTAATGAGATTTCCTATTTGGTAACTTCTTGACTGCACGAATTTAAGCATAGGTCTCATTATTTTACTTACAAATTAGATGTTACTGTAAGTTCTATTCTAATAGCTTATTTTCTTGCACTTCTGAGTGTGAGAATATGAGAAAAAGAAAACATTATTAAGGAGAGAGAACAATAAAAGAACAAGATTTAAGAAGACAAAAGATATCAATTAACATTGCATTTAAATTTTTGAAGATCAAAGTTGGCTAGAAAGCAAAAAACTGGAAGAGAGATCTACAATGAGAAGAGAAACTTTTGGCAAAGAACTTACAGTTACATCTAGTCATTTCAATATTTATTAAGGAGGCACAGGGAAGCTACGTTATAGTGACAGAAAAGAGACTAAAACTTAGAGACCAGGAGAGAACCAATAATATTGCAGATTCTTTTTTTTGTATTTTATCATAAATCTCTAAATACATAGCAGAAGCAGCAGTCCAGATGTGGCAGAAATATTCAATGCATGAATTATAAATGTGCAAGATAGACTCTGGCAAGAAAATTATCGAGGACAACGCAGTGAACCAACTTTCCTAGCAGCAGACCTAGCAATTGATTCACTATAATCTTTCCACTTCATGTCAGTAGAAAATGTTTGTCAAAGAAGTTACAAGAATTCACTCATCCAGAGATTAATATCAGTTATGCTGATGGGAGGCAAAAAATGTTGTCTAAAACAATTAAAAGGGAGCAGTCTTCTTTTGGTAGTATTAATATTAACAAGCTATTTCTTGCCTCAGTTAACAACAGACTGAAGTTCATTTTTGAGATCAGCTACTAATTTAACATTATTGAACCGATCAAACTTACCATTGAGACAGGAGTTAATAGTATTGTCATCAGCATTTTGAGAACAGATGATATCAGGAGAGTCATTAATAAAAATAGGTCCAAAGATAAAGCCCTGGGAGACACCTGCATAGATGTAAAAAGATCTAGAAGAGTGGCCATTCTAGTCAATTTTCATTTCACAGTTAGATAAGAAAGTTGAATAAAATCAAAAATTTTTCCAGAAATGCTATAACTTTTCAACTTGTGAAGAAGACCAGCATGCTGAACCCTGTCAAACACCCTCAAGATATCTAAAACAGCCGAAGCATCACCATTCAAAAGCTTGACAGACTCTTTTAGCAATAATCATTAACATATTGATCTAGAGAAATGAAAGAAATTCTTTTTTTTCTGAAAGAAGACCCTATGAGGTGAGATGCTTAACCAATGTGGAATTGATCTGAGCCTCCAGAACTTTGCCAAAAAGATGCAGAAGGCTAATAGGCCAATAGTTAGAAGTATCAGTTTGCCAGTGTTCTAAAACCAAAAATTACTAAAGAGAATTTCCAACAAGCTGGAAAGCTAGAAGTAGCAAGTCATTTATTGTAGATGTTAGAGAGAACAAGAGCCATTTCAGGAGAACATTTCTTCCAGACAATTGCAGGGAAACCATCATGACTATATACTTTGTGGGGATCTAGTTTAGAAAAGATAGCAGAAACAATTGATAGTTATATGTATTTCAGACAGTAGAAATTCACTTCTAAGTGGAAAGTCAGGCAAAGACACTCCAGAGGAGTCAAGAGTAAAATTGGAAGAGAATTTATGAGCAAAGCATTCTGCTTTATTAGCAGAAGATAACACTTCAAAATGCATGAAGAAAGGAGGAATGGGAAACTTACTTTTATTTAACATGCTGATGCAGAGCTGCCAGTGATCGTGAGAACCAAACCATATGTAGGCTGTTATGTAACAAGGCAGTAATATATATATATATATATATATATATATATATACATACATATATATACTTAGTATATATATATATATATATATATATATATATACATACATATATATACTAAATAAATATATATATATATATATATACATATATATACATATATATATATATAGTAAATATATATATATATATATATATATATATATATACTTAGTAAATATATATATATATATATATACATATATATATATAGTAAATATATATATATATATACATATATATACTTAGTAAATATATATATATGCATATATATGTGTGTGTGTAAATATATATATATATATATATATATGTATATGCGTGTGTGTTAGTAAATGTGTGTGTGTACATATATATATAAATATATATGTATACATATATATAATTAGTAAATATATATATATATATACATATATATAATTAGTAAATATATATATATATATACATATATATATAGTAAATATATATATATATATAGTAAATATATATATATATATATATATATATATATATATATATATATATATATATATATATATATATATATATATATATATATATATATATATATATATATATATATATATATATAGTAAATATATATATATATATATATATATATATGTGTGTAAATATATATATATATATATATATATATATATATGTGTATATATATATATATATATATATATATATATATACTTAGTAAATATATATATATACTTAGTAAATATATATATATATATATATATATATATATGGTTTTGGTTCTCATGATTACTGCCATCCTTTTTTCATATGGACTTTGACATAAAAGTCACTATGAAACAGAGATATGCTATTGAATTTCTCCTTGTGAAATTTGCATTCATTGATTCTTACAGAGCATTTAGAGATACCAAACAGGGGAATATGTATAACAAGACATATTCCACTCAACTTTGCATCACCCAAAGTGAAGAGTTTTTGAAAAAAGCAATGCCAATTGTGGTAATGCTGGAATTAGATCTATTTTTATACAAGAAACATTCAACATTCATTGACCAAACAATTCATGTTAATCCTGATTGAAATTTCTAAAATTTTTCTATTAAAATAGTTTTTCAGGAAATTAATTTAATATCCAATAAATCTTATAACTCTTTTTCTAATATTCATAACTGGAAAAATAGTGTTTCATGGGGTAATGGTAATATTAGCAGTTTCCTTATTAGTAAACACTGGTTCCTGTGTGATCACCAAAGTTAAGCAACATCAAGCCTGCTCAGTAACGAGATGGGTGACTGCTTTAGAGCACTATGCTTGGATATGTGGATGGTGTAATAGTTAATGTCTTGGAATTGTTAATCAGAAAGCCTAGTTCCAATTCCAGTTGAGTTTGTTATGTTCACTTAAACACAGATACTCTTAAGACAGGTATAAATCCACCTCTTCTCCTCCCCAGCTATGGGTTAATTAGTAAGACTTGTTGCGATAACAAAAGAGAGCAAGAGTAGGCTTAAAGAAGCTTTATTCTGCTTAGAATAATTGATACTAATATAGTGACTATTTATAGTCCTCTACAAACGAAAGAGTTCTCCAAAGGGAGGTAATCATAAAACAAAGGAGATTACTGCTGATTATTTTATCACACTTGTATCACAAAACCATTATTATCTCCAAAAATAAAATAGCATACAAAATATTTAGATTCCAGTATTAAATAAACCTTAGAGATTGATATGCTGCTAAACAACCAACCAACTTATTAGGAAACATTCAACATTCATTGACTGATTCAGTTTAATAGTTAAATCTTTTTACTAAAGGACTTTATCAAGTGTAGTAACTGTTATTGCTCCTTCCAATATTGATGGGAGTTTCCTTCCTAACCTTTTGTTTAAAGTAGTGTGGAATGTATTGTGCTCTTGGTAAGGTATCTGTTGTAGTTTCTTGGGAAATAAATGGAAGCCATTACTTTAAGTGTGCCCCCCACCCTTTTGTGTGTGTGTGTTGCTAATCTATTTTTATGAATTAAACTTCTCAGTGTTCTGGATCATTTCTTTTACTACCATTCACTGACCTGACATGTAAACTATGCCACAAAACCACAACAACTCCCAACTAAAGTTACTTTGAAGTATTTCTAACTTCTTGCTAGTAAGCCTTTTTATACTAATTCCTTTTTAGCCACTGACCAAATCACTAAAATGAAAATAAATCTTTTTTTTTTGTTTTGTTTTCTGTAAAACATAGTTGGTTGTCTTTTTCTTATTGCTCTTGTCCCACATGTGACAATGTGCATTATATTAATATTGAGACAATGTGCAGGTTTGTGTAATGGTTATTGGTTCAGAAAATAAAACTGGTGAACCATGTTCAAATTTTGCCTGAAAATGTTATGTACAGTTTACATTAATGACCTTGGAAAAGGCACGAATCTCTTCTTTCCTAACTATGGGTAAATAGCCAGGCACATTGGGGACTCAGATCTGGGTTAACAACCAGTCCAGAATGACAACGTAAACTGATTGGGTGTAGGAATTGTACCTTTGCTGCCATATCTGAGCTGGAGTTGCCCAACCCTCTCTTTCTATCCTTGATAAAGTTCAAGAATGTTTCTGTGCCCTTGTAAGCAATGAATTATTTTCCAACCTGCCACCCTTTTCCAACAGACACAACACTGCAAGCCTCTTGCTATTCTATTGTTATTTTCATGAAAAATGTTCTGATGAGCTACATTCCCTAATTACACCAGTTCAGGCCTTTCCAGCTAAGACCCACCATGTCATATCCACAGGTGCAAAATGTCCTCATTCCCTGTTGTATTCCA